TGAGTTTAACAAGCAATGCAGTATAGAGTATAGGCAGAGTTATCTTGGCTGAAAAACGAATACAATTTTTGTTGCACTTTTACTTCATTCTCGGACTCGTTTTGATTTTCTCATTAAAAAAATCACCATCTAATACATAATTATAATAACTATTATTCGGAGTGATCACAGTTTGACAAAAGGCTTTTAAGTACAGTAACGCTTTTTTACTTTTAGTATTTTCTTCCACGTTGTTATTATTGTTATTTTTTTTTGTTTCTCTTTTAGTTCTTGTATAATACAGATGCACGACCCAATTATATATATATCTTTGAAAAACCAGTTTTAATGTTTGCATTTTTATACTTTAGTTTTGTTTCAACACAAAAACAATGTAGTAACAGTAGTGTTCAATATATTTATCTTAATATGTTAGTGTATAATATGTACATCTAGAAGAATTATTTACACCTGAGCCGTATTTATGCGATTATAAAAACATGATAATCTCGATATTTTATCCGCACATAACATGCACAGTGCCCTCGGCAATAGATGCATGTGTATAACCGAGTGCTCGTTAAAAATTATCATCTTACGGCATATTTACGCATGTTTTTTTTTTAATTTAATTTTTTTTTCTAATTAATTTAAATAGTTGATTTTTTTTATACGAAGTTAATATCAAACGTCAGTCAGCTTCTTATGCTTTTTTTAGGAAACTGGAGTTGAAAGAAAAAAATTTGTAATCTAGTACACAAGATATGTTATTGACAAAATAGAAAGACACGAATTTTTTGTTTGTTGTTTGTGCTTGAGTTGCGCTTAAGAGCAATAGACACATACATACATTCACGCAGTAATGCAAAATTCAATGGAATCGATAGTTAAATATTTGAAGCTTTTGTAATATTTATAATAATGAAATAAACTATCTTTTAATCAACTCTTCGCCCGAGTGAGTATATCAGCAACCCACAAAAAATCAAACTTTGATGTACAAAAATATCACGAAAGGTAAGTATATATATTTAAAAAAAAAACGTCTTTTATTAATGTATTTTAAACAACTTGTACCAAAAAATTATTTCTTCATCTTGTCAAAGGTGTTTGACATCATATTTATCAAACAGAAGTGCGCAATGACGTGCACTCGTAACTTTTTTCACCAGAAAAATCTTTCAGTCATATACGACAATAAAAATTACAGCATTCTGGACAAAGCTTTTTTTTATACTTTCATAAATTGCAGCAACATTTAGACAGCCTTAATACTAGAAACTTTTTGTTTTCCCCGAGTGAGTAATGGTTATAATTTTATTTTTTAAGAAGAAAAAGGAAAGTTAAAAAAATACACTTAATCCACGTACATGTACAAACTTACCCACGTAACCATATTCACGCGTTTTACAAATACATTCCAATTTTATGAGTATTTACCCCTTAAATTATCAAAGCATAGACGAATGAAAAATATAAAACAACGAATGTCTCGTTGGTGTTCTTCATATTTGGGGGGAAAAAAAAAATTAACCCAAAGCTACACCTCAAGTTCATCGTCTCATGTACAACATCTACTATAATGTCGCTTACGTGTATTTAATAATAAGCCATGTGCACAAAGTAGTTTTCGCATATACCAAATGAGTAATTGTGTGAGTAGCTATGGTCTGGCATTCTGCTGCTTTGGTACTTATTCGTCGATTTGACGGAACGAACGAAATGAATGACGGAATCGCAATTTATACAGAGAGGAAGGGCGAGAGAGAGAGGTGGGGAGGGGAAGCGTTAAATGACTGCCATTACCGTTCGACCGCACACTGGACGGAACTGTACCCCAACTTTTGCATGAGATTTTGATCTCATTACCTTCAATCTCCAATTCCTCTTTCGTACCCCAAAATGGTCAAACTCCCCGTCCGTGTATATATATATATATATGTACATGTTTGTGCTTGGCCATTATTGATGATCAGTTTGGTTTAAATTGAAGTATAAAAATATATAAATGTGCATGTATACTAATGGAGATGGGCCATTGCTTTTGTTGGGCAGTTGGATTGGCATGATGGATTTTCATCACGACTGAAAGTGTGAATTCAAAAAGGTACAACAATACAATCCGTGACTCGAGACAGAGAAAAAAAAAAAAAAAAAAAAAGAGAGCACAAAATGTCTTTTTAATTTCTAATGTGTATACGATGGTGATGTTAATGTGCCCGACAAGCTTAAAACGGTCGGATTCGAGAGTATAGCGTAAGAACAATAAGTCTGAGAGTGTCAAAAGAGAGTGAGAAAGAAAGAAAACGGGGGGAGAGAGAAAAAAAAAGTTCGTGCCATTTAATCGACGTCACAACTGGCCGCAGCAATGCGTGCCGCGCTACTCCCGACGATTACATGTTGTACTCGCCTTGGGTCTTATTCACTTCCGTCCTTTTTTTGCGCCCCACGTACATATACGGCGGCGGCAACTCAAAGTAAAACTGTGAAAAATCTCGGTTTTGTCAAGAGGCTCGTGCTATTTCTTCTCCATTTTTTCCTAAGCACAGCGTCGCTCTTTGACTTACGCGTCGGCGAATTTTTTTTTTTTTTTTTTTTTGTACTTCAATGTATACGCGCGCGGTTCAAGCCTTGGATAACCCTTACCGTATTGCACTTTGTTTCCTTTCTTGTCATGCGGAGATTAAACAAAATTTTACCGTAAGAGATCACTTTTTTGTTGAGCATCGCTGGTGGCTCTTTGCTGCGAGGATACAACTAAAAGTAATGAAAACTAATTACGGGTAAATTCCTTGAATGCAATGTACCCGTGGTATTAAATTAAACCCTGTTAAATCGCTTTTTTGCGTTGCAGAAAACAATTTTTTATGCATTTTTAACTCTCACAATTTAACTTTTGCTGAAAATAATGACGCCAGGGCTCATGAAAAAAAAAAAATAATAATAATAATTACAGTAAAGGTGCAGACTGTAGGGGTTGAATTTCTCACGAGATCGGCCGATACGCTTGCAAATGTCACAAGGGAAAAAATCGCGCCAGCCCCGATGTAACGAGGGGGGTTGATGGGGGTGAAATTCCCGTTAAATGAATTGGACGACGAGTATACATATATATCCCTTTTTGCACCGAGGCGACGTTAAGTTTTAACAAGAGAAGTCTCTTGAGCGCCGGGTGTTAACTTTTAACAAGGAAAACTCTCGCCCTCTTTGTCCCATCCGCGTGCTAGAATTACTTTGGATTATGCGGCAGAGTACTCGACTCACTTTACTCGAAATTGAAAAGCCACGGTATCGCTCTAATCGACTCTCCTCCGTCTCCTCTCGTCGCGCCGTAAAACTTGTACAATTTTTTCGTTTTCTCTCTTCCTCCATCGATTTCATCGGAGGATACTCCCGACTATGTCTATTTTTCGAAAATGATACAACGATGGGCCATTTTTGTTTTTCTTACTTCTATTTAAAAAATAGCAATGATTTTTTTTAACTGCTACGACACCCACTGTTAGTGAACATTTACATACGTTCTTTGAAAAGGAACTGAGGAGTCATGAAAAAAAAAAAAAACCACAACCGAATGTCGGACAAACGACAGGGTGTGTTCGTTCGATGTGGCGCAGTCGGTGAAAAAAAGAGTTCACGTGCTTGACGTAGGTAGCGTACAGTTGACTGACCGAGCTATATATACGCAATACCAAAGTGAAAATGAAATTCAAGCCCATCGGGTGGCTCCAAAAGTTCAAACTAAGGACCAAACGAGTCGATTGTATAACGATCAAGTTGAAAACTTGATTTCACCGCTCACCAGCGTAATTGGACGTACATATGTATATAAATGCGAGCTTTCGCGCCGTAATCACGTGTGGGATCACACAGCTGAAACTTTGATAATTAGAGCAACTGAGAAGAGTCTCGCACGCATCGGCATTTACTTGGGGTATGAGTGAAGTCGAGATTGCCGGTCGGGACCCCCAAATTAACGAGCCGCCTCGTCCCCGTTTTCCACCGTCGCGACAGAAGAATGTTCGGATCAAAAGGACCCGCAAGCTCGAGCTTTCGAGCGGTTTCGCTCGCGGGTAGTGGCAGTTAAAAAATACTTGAGAGCCTCACACTTGTAGAAGCAAGGTACTTTCGATTCAAAGACAACTCGGTAGAGGTATATAGTTCGAGCGGCTCGTAAATAACATGCTCGCTGTCGCAAAGTCATCGGTCAAGTGCCATCAGGGAGGGTGAGCTTTTTTTTCCCCTCTCGAGCTTCCGTCCTGTATTTTCGTATACGCAGCAGTTGGAAAAGTTTGGAAAAAAAAGGAGTAAGTAGTTTGGAAGGGAGACTCGAGTGTCCCCTCGAGGAATGGCTGACAGTTGATGGGTGCACCCGGAACTATTGGAGTCGGTGGTTTTTTTTCTTTTTTTTTTTTTTTTCATGCGTGTCACGGAAATATGATATTTTGCACATCGATCGGAGTTTGCAGTCGAGTCGTACAAGAAACATACAATATGTAAAAATCCATACAAAACGGATATTGCTCGGTCAATTTGTGTACGCGTGTATACAACATTCACTAGAGAGTTTTCATGAAGAAACAACAACGAGCAACATTTTATCATTTTGTATTCATACTAGCGAAAAAAATTACCACGCAAAATGTTTAAACAATCTTGTAAAAAAAAAAAAAAAAAATAAAAATCATAGTTAACATACACCGCAGGACTTGTACGCTTCTTTCTTGCTTATATCAAAAAGTATCAATATAGGTACGTACATGTATTGTAATATTTGTGTACACGAGCTACCCACGCAATTAGTTTAAATAAAATGTCACGCGCAAATAACTCCTTCCTGCTTTTATCCTTACCTCTCTTTTTTCTGCAAATGTATCGGAATCACAATATAAAAAATCGTGACAATTGGGTCCCGGCTCGTTACACACGCGCTGCACCATACACATTACAATACACCGACGGAAAGCAATAACGGCACACAGACTCGGAAGTCATATAGTTTTTTTTCCTTCCTCCTTCGCTTCAAAAGACTATAGCTACTCATTAGGGGCTGCAGCGCCCCCCACCCCCCGTAAGTCTGTATATAATAACATATATACGCATCATAGGAATCTCTCAGAGCACATATACATATACGTGTAAATTTAGAAGTCAATGGACGACACACGATTGCGTATGTAAGAAGGGTACAAGCACGTTAATAATAATATAAAATCCAAATGAACAAAGTATACTGATCATAAAACACGCAGTCATATCCGCACGGAGATGATCAGGGAATCAATCAACCGGAGAAACAATTGACGGACCAGTCGGCATGATTAGACGTACATATATATATATACATGTACTTATATAAATGTAAATGTAAATGTAAAAGAGGTGGTAAGTGATAATAACGGTAGAAATGATCAATAGGTGTGGTTCACTCGCGGTGCCTGAGGTGGCCGTACTGGTAACCCTAGAGCTCGTAGACGTCCCGACCGTTGGGCCGCGCGACGGCGGGCCGGCACGAGGCCGGGCTCGCGTACGAGTGTATTATGTGGACGCGTAGGCGCACGTCGCCGGACGACCTGCCGTCACCGCCGCGCTGCCGGCCCCGGGAAAAGCTCACCGTCGTCTTGCAGCAGCAATAGTCGAACAGCTTGACGTAGGCGCTGCGAAAGTGCCGATCTGCCACGCAGTACAGCAAATTGTTGAAACAGGACTTGGACAGGGCGAACCACGCCAGGTAGATGACGATCTTTGGACTGACCGGCTTCACCTGCGCCCGGCATTTGGAGAAAGAAAATACGATTGTTGCATGCAGTTGATGACGACAAAGGGGAGAAAAAAAAAAAAAAAATAAAGAAAGATAAGCCCATGAAACTCACCACGCTGATGCAAAAGGTGACGCCCAAGGGTAGCCAGAATATGCTGAAGAAGAAGAAGCTGTACATGTTGGCCTTGGTGAGCTCGTAGTCCCAGTTGAAGGTGACGGGCGGCTTGTAGGAGCCGCGCATGGCCCCGCGTACGCGCAGTACGAGCCGGGCGTAGACGAGAACGGTGAGGAACATGGGGACGCCGACAATGACGCAGGCGCTTATGATGCCGCTCGTGTTGATGGTCATGCGAAACGGCTTGAGCCGGTCTATGTTGCACAAGTTCGGCCCGAGATCCAAGTACGTTTGCAGGCCCACCGACAATGTCGCTATCAGCCACACGCTCAGCACAGAGGCCGTCACCCGCTTCGTCGTCAATTTTATGTATCTGCACCGCACAAACAACCGTGGAGTTACATCTCATGTGTTTTATATACTCATTTTACTCTATATCACACACATCTTACCCCTAACATATATATACGCGCCCGCGCTTTCGAAGGGTTATTGGTATATGTAACTATATGCACACCCCTAATAACAATAGCCATCACGTAAGCTTCGAAACGCAATCAAAAGCCACTCAAGAACTCTCCCTCCCCCTACGCATATATATTGAAACTCGATGATCATGTATAGTATAAATGTACATATACAGGAAACATATATACCATTATATATATGGCGCCTAAGGAGGAGGCTAATCGCACCGAAGCCCGGATTATTAATCAATGGCCCCCTCCCATGCATGCAAGCCGCAAGTGTATTGTAGCGCCAACACACACCGGGACTGAGAGAGCGAAACTTCGAACTAGGAAAATCCGCGAGGGGCGATCAAGGACGGGCCCTCCCATTCTATACCTTGAAATATACACGTAAGTTACGCGTAATGTAATAACCGGGGGGGAGGGGGGAGGTCAATCACTCTCGGCCTAATTGATTGGAAAGCGTGTGTACCCCCCGTCCGAGGATTCATCGCGCGCTTACGTATAGCCATATAGTCGAGCACCCGAGAGAAGTTGGAGCTATACGTGCGGGGTATAGCCGACAAAGTTACACCCGGGTAAACCTATATGGCAAGCAAGTTGGGAGAGCGCGTATCGCGCGGAGTCGATGATTTGCGAACACCGTACCTGTACACCTACATCAAGCTGCACTTTCGCAAGGAATCCAGATTATATCCGAGGGAGAGCTGATGCGCTTTTATTACCCCGCCGCGGTATACAATCGTTGCCGAAGGGGCATGGGGGATCAAATGGCTCGAGCTATATGTATACATACATCGGTAATAGGGCATCAGAGAGAGAGAGACAGCTGGATGGGATTTCCGAGGGTGCAGAGTCGCGGAAAATGGGATTTGCTTCGTCTCCGCGTACATCGAGCGCCAGAAGCGTATAGAGCTCTCCCCCCCCCCCCTTACCACGTATCCGACTCGAGGCTCTTTGTGAAATGAAACCCATATAACTACACAACCCTAGCACTCTCTCTCTATAGGTCCGCATGCGTGATTAGCCGGCGATGTTAGACGAACGGGGTGTATCTTTCTCGATTATCGGTTCGCCGAGAGGGCGAATGGAGCCACTTGACTCTCTCGCGCAAGCTCGCCTGGATGTAAGTTATATACTTATAGAGGGTTCGACTGGTCGAGCACCACGTATAATAGGTACACTTGCTTGGGGCTATTCAATTAAGTAGTTTTGGAAAAGTTGTTGCTGCGTGGCTGTGTATTAATGATGTACACGATTATTCATCCGAACGATATACAGTTACGGCCCCTTTGATTTTGCAATTTGTCAGTGTCGTAAAAGATTTTACGGAATGTAACATTTCAGTGTGATAAACAAAGGCAAATGCACGGTCCACGGGGTATACGGATTGGGGACAAAATCCACGTCCATTCCAGGGTATTATTTTTGCGTGGGGAGTAACAAAAAATCATCGAGCCACGTGCGCACCCCTTTCTTCTATGCGATGTACATTGCTTGTTTTTTGTTAGTTCGGGGGAAAAAAAAAAAAAACAAACACCAGTACACATGGTTAAATTTTGTAACGCGTGCGACGAACGATGAAAAAAAAAAAAAAATAAACATCACGCCGTAAGCGCAAACAACTTAATTTACACTTCTCGATTCTATACCGATAAAACAATCCACACAGCCGTAGTGTTTGCGTATTTTAGTATTTATTATAAAGCGCGTGCGTTTAAAGAAATCCAAGCGTTTCGCGGGATAGGAGCAATTCACGAGAGCCGAAGTTTGTCGGCGGGGGCTTGCGCTTAGTATCAGAAAGCTGCTTGCCACGGCGGTGTTGTACTACCCTGGACGTCAGCTATTGTTACTACACACACGTGAAATAGTGGAGAGTGCGCGAGTATGTGTGGGTGGTATTGTAAGGAAATTGGACGGGCTCCAAGGATAATGGACGCAATTTTCCAGGAAACTGAGGTTGCGTAAGCGGACCGAAAAAGGGGGTCTCGCCGTCCCGAAACTTATACACCAAGATCAGCGCCCCTCGGATAAGGAGCTACTTCTTCAACGTTATATTGTGCAAATAAATGTTTGATGGTTTCATATTTTTATTTTGCCTTTTTTTTTTTTTTTTTTTTTTTTTTTGGCGGCCAATATAGGCAATGATTAATCCACGGAAACATCGTTGAAGCAACAAAGTGGCCATATGTACACACCCCCTGCATAATTTTATGCGACAACATTGAAAGAGATGGATGCTCATGCATACGAAACGCGAGTGGGGTGGGGGAGGGGGGCGGGGGTGAAGAAAAATAAACACGAAATTTAAATTAATGCATCGCGAGCGAGTTTTATAAAACGCATGGGTCGTATCTACATTAACGAAATGAACAAAAGATGATTGACCCTCGCGATGATCTATTACGCTGGTGGATATTATATCCCTGATGGTAAACTCAGTGTTATTGTGAATAAAAATAAAAAAATAATAAAAATAAATAGAATAAACTAGCCAAGCATAGTTGTGGTAGAAGATTTACATCAAGTGCGTGCATTACGTACAACGGCGTCGTACCAATGTACGTTCCCTCATCACCGATATGGAAATGGTAAAAAAAAAAAAAAAAAAAAAAAAAAAAAAAAAACTTGCATTGTAACACCCAACGCCGTACAAGTGTATACCGGTGCATGTATATAGGTACGCACCAGCGTACAATATGAAGTGACAACAACAATGGAAATAAAAATGACAACAAGTTTAGTATACACAATAGGTTATATATATATACATATACGCACCTCTCGACGGGCCAGCAGAGCCGCATGTAGTTTTCCACGGATATGGCGACGAAGGTGATGACGGTGACGAGGAAACAGAGCGCCTCGAGAGTCCACTCGAAGACGCATATCCCGCGCGGGTACTCGTCGTGCATACCCGCTAGAATTAGAATGGCCGAGGCTGGAATCACCATACCCGAGATCAGGAGATCGGCCAGTGCTACGTTCACCAAGTAGGCGTTGCCTGCAAAGAACAATTTTTTTTTTTTTCTCCCACTCATGTACATAACAAAATATATAACTTGTACCTTTGTGCATGGTTGCACTTTGTCTTTTACAAATATTATTACTACATGATTGTATCGAGCTAACATCAAAACTCTACCGGGAGAGCGTTGACGAAGCTTGACAATGGGCGCATTGCATACCTGAGTTGCAAGTGCTACATGGCACCTGCAGGTGGCTTCCATGGGCCATTATTGGAATTGTATTATTCGGTACCAAAGGGTATTGGAATAAAAAGAAAAAAAAATGTATTCAATTACTGTAGCCATTCGACAAAGTACTGCACATTGACTTGAAAGATAAATTTTTCTCGTTTCGTTTCATCCACCCGTTATACGGAAATTAAAAAAAAAAAAAAAAAAAAAAAAAGGATTCCGTGTAAGCTCTGGTGAATTGAATTCGATATGGCATGTGCTCTGGAGTTGGTGCCTCGAGTGATTACCGTTCGAGAATCGATGAAATCCGATTGCAAAAGTGTACGTATATACCTGTACCTCGACTGCAGGACGAAAAAAAAAAAAAACACGCCGAGGGTAGAGGTTTCGTTTCCTCATTTTATGCAGATATTTGAAATGTCATTTCATCTCGGAATATCAACGGAAAATGATTTAAAAGTAAGTCCATGCAAGGCAATTTCAAAAGCACTTGGTCTCTCTGTATGAGAACTATTTTTTATGTATAGCAGATGGTTTGAGATGTAATTTTTCTTTCAAAAATTCAATTGAAATGAATTGCCATGTTTTTTACTTCAAAGTACAAAATGCCTCTGGCGTTCTCTTACAAAAGCATACTACCGTACCAATAAAGTTGGGCTTTATGAACAATCACGGGCTTTTATCGAAACATTCAACACTGACTTTACCCATAGGTACATATTAAAGTTAATGTGAAAATTGTCATTTAATAATGCGAGTAATTGAATTTATCGACATTTCCCATCCAGTAGGAGATTACCAAGGCAACTCGTACCAATTGTCATTTAATAAATTTAAATAACTCTTCTACTGCTAACTAACAAAAAAACAGTATTGATGTTTTATCTACTACTTATTACACATAAATTTATTGAATAGCTCTAGAAAAACTTTGAAGGAAAAATCTGTCTAAATGAGTGTTCGGATCCTTTTTGTTCTTAGCATCACAAGGTAACTCTACTTGAAATAAAAAGTGATCTCGAAATTAACGATTTTTCACGTACGCGGGACTATATACATTATACTGCCACTACTTACCGCGTTCCCTCGATCCCTCACGCGACGGCACCTATAAGCGCTTACTTAGATGGCCGCCAAGTGCAGGAAGCCATACGATACCTGTTTGTTTAACCGATTACTGTAACACCGGAATAATCCACAAAATCCGTGTTATTGAGAAATATGAAAGTAAAGTTTGACGTCGAGCCACGGGGTGGAAACAATAAAAACCACGAGCCGTATGATGCGGGGGTAATTATGATTCTGTCGTCTGAGAAGTTGCACAAAAACTTCCATCACGGGTGGAGGGTACAAAGAGCAATGTGCAACTGGCGTAATCGCCCTGTACGAGTTACGAGGCAAGTTGATGAAGTGGAAAGTATTTTTTAGACGGAAAGGAGAAAGGGGACGCAGGTGTAAGAGAAACTAAGAAGACGGGGAACGTAAAAGTGGGTTTCCGGCTACCTCTTTCTGCTTCTAGTTCTACAATGTATAGGGTGTATACTTATATACGGAGTTTCCAGGGAGAAGAGGACAACAGAGCCGTGCTACCCTGTAGTCCCTCGGGGGGTGGGAAGGGAGTTGTTACGAGACTCAGCGCTTCCTCTTGTAACGTCGTTACAGGCACTTGCCCTCATCTCACCGCTGCATACCCTATACCTTCTTTGGCCCCTTTTACGTGTGTATCTCAAGTAAAGGCCCGAAGGCTTTTTTTTTTTTTTTTTTTTTTTTTTCGTAACTCAATGATTTAAGAGTGCCCCGACGACGACGTGTTTTTGCCTTTTATCTTCTGCCCCGTGAAAGGTAGGGATGATGAATATACGTTGTAATATCAAGGACGTTTCATTAGCGACACGGGAGCCGAAAGCCCATGTATACACATCGTATACCTACAATATATTACGTGAAAAGTGTGATGCTTTTAAGCTCTTATCTGCAGATACATGTATACGGGATATTAGGTGCGATTGTAGACTTTTTATATTGTACTCCATCAGCCACTAAAGTAATTTTTGGTCCTTATTCATCTTTTTACGTGATCCATGATGGATACAGTTACTTTGAAGCTATACTGACGTTAAAAAAAGTAGAGTGAGTGTATGATACCGAGCTCTTTTTTTTTTTTTTTCTTTTATGAGATTAAAATGTTATCTACTGGAATTGCATTCATCAAGTCAAGGGTTATTCTTTCCACTTATGTGTCAAGTAGTTGATGACAAGAGTTAGAAGTGACATATTAGTGTTAAAAACGAGTAATTTTCGAAAATGATTTTTATAAAGCAACAACAGAAAATACCCAACATGTACTTTTCTTTTTACGCTCAAATTATTTATTCATGTGTATGGTCCTTACATTAATTTAAATTCTTAAAAAAAAAAAAATTCGTTTTTCTCCACCCCTCAAACAAATAATTTATAAATGCGTCAGAGCCAATTAGTAACGTAACGTTATTTACCATCAATTAAAATCTTTCCATCTATACTCCAAAGTGTTTGTTGCTCGTGATTTCAATTTGCAAGTCTTTCATGATTATTCAGACGGGAATGAACAATTTTTACTCACTCGGCTGGTTTTACGTATTATATACATTTCAATGCGTGCAAAAACAAATAGTACCTCGGAAATCCATATTTATATTTACCGAAAAATCTTCAAACGGCATAAATTATATCTACGCAGCAGACCAAAGGAAATTAAGAGAGAAAAAACAAAAACGTTCGGTGCACAACGTTTTTACCTTTGAATTATTTATACGCTTGGCCCAAAAAAACATCTTGAACGTGTATTTTTTTACTTTAATAATGCCTTGTTATTTACCTGTGCACACGCAGACGTACACACATAAAGCAATGCAAACCGAGTAAATTAATTCATTTTTATTCTCAACGCGCAACACGAAAACGCGAGGATGAAAGCTCATTAAAACTGCACTTCTTTTATAACTTCACGGTGCAAAAAAAAAAAAAAAAAAAAAAAAAAAAAAAAAATCGTAAATCCGGTAAAACTCATCACACTAATCCTACACGATTATTAAAAAAATTCACTACTCCGCATCCCTCTGGGGAGATCGGTAAAATATTTTGGACACGTAAGCGCAAGCAAGTACTCTCAAAATAGTGATGAGTGCACAACTTTTTCAAACTGTTGCACATACACTGTAAAATAGCGTAAGTAACAGTGAGCTGTGGAATGACCTTCGTTTGGATGAAAATCGCTAATTTGATGAAGTATGAATAAATAATAATAGAATTAAAATTTACATCGATTGGGTTGTAATGAGCGAGCCCAATTTTTCCCTATTTTGCGCGTGAAAATGTTGTTCACTTGCGCAAGTAGTGAAATGTTCACTATGGTATTAAAAATTCACAGAGATACGTAATAAGTAAGTGGAGTCCTCACCCCGTTTCTTGAGGTGGTCCTCCACCATGATGGCGGATATCATGAAGACGTTGCCGACGCTGCCGACGACCGCGAGGGAGGCGAGCATCAGCAGCCTGGCGACCCTCGACCAATCCGAGGACAGGGTGACCGGGGACACGTTGAGGCTCCCGTCGGCCATGGCCGTGGCTTCGTCCGTGGGATCTAGAATCCCGGCCAAACCGGTCACCCCGAAGCTTACCATCGCCGAAGTCGCGGTAGTCGTCGCCGACGTCATCGTCATTGTCGTCGTGGAGTTCATTTCTCTCTCTCTCTCTCTGCACCTGGAAATAATCGGAAAACAACATAATATAATTATACACATTACACGCTTGACGCTCGTGTAATTGCCTATCGTTTGCGCGATATATAGGATATAATATTATACGTACGCGCAATTGTTTGTCCTATCCTGCAAGTACATTGTACACGGGTATACCTGATGTTGTACGGATAAATACTTATCATAAAGTGGGGATTGCCGTAATGTTTGCTCGCTCGGATTGGGAACAACAACCGTATAGGTATACAATGTACGACGCTGCGTGCAGGACTCGCGTACGATGTTAGTCTCGATGCAATTCGTGCAGCGACTTTGACGCTCGGGACTGTAGGTAGGTACATACACTTACACCTATGTATACCTTCGTGTGTATAATACCTATTTGCGTGGGGGTTGGCTATTGTACGGGCAGAGCTCATCTGTCGCTTGATTGTTGGTTGGGACACTGATTCGCTGATGGTCCTGCACTTACCACCACGACGATGCCGTTACATTTGAATTATTATTATTATATACGCGGACTTTACTGGGCGGGCCAACATATATCAGTTTGTATACGTTTTGTATTTGTTTATGATTGGCCGTCGTTGTCTTTTGTTGTTCAACTTCTCGCTGATCTCGCAATAACCACACCGGCGAGCTTTTAAAGGCAAAGCTGAGTATTGGGAGCGACACCTAAAATCTTTGGGTGTTTTTTTTTTTTTTTTAAACTTTTCTGGAGAAAGAGAAGTTTGGTGGAAAAAAAGAGTGACTCGACGCGTGATTTGGTGTACGCGAGGCCATAGGTGCCAGGCCTCGTGGTGTAGATTGATTGCCCTGAGGACAAGAGGGGATGGAGACGCTATCCCGAGCGATTGTTGATTTTCGAGGGCTCCAAGCTCCCACGGAGACGCGATTTTCCCACCCCTCCGTACACTTTTTGCCCCACCGATTTCAGCTTGCGCAAGTATACGCCGCTCGGAGAGATAAAGAGATTCAAACATCGATGGTAATTTTATACATTATAATATACGTATAACACTGTTCGCAAGCTCCGAAATCGTTGTGGAGTTTTTTTATTTTCCCCAAGCCGGAACGAGGAGCAATTATTGTTGATTCGATGTAAGTACACCTTTGCGCTCATGTACGGATCAATGCTATATAATCAAGATGTATCGTCGCACACACACACATCCGCAGTGGGGGGTAATTGAAATAGTTTAAAACTTATTTCGCTTGAAATACTCGGTCAGAGAGTTGTCTAACAAAGTCCATAGCTGCTTTTGATTGCAAATACGTGTGTTCCCAGGGGAGGGGGGTTGACAATTGTTTGGGTAAACTTATCCTCTTCGCCGAGACTATAATGAGATAAAAAACTTAAAGTCCTCCTTTCGCCAATTTCGTCGCTTATTATTTATCCCAATCAAGTCGGCTCGAGCTTAATTGCACGGCTTAACTTTTAAAGCTCTTCCCCTACCCGCCCCGCGAGAGTTGTCAACTTGAGCAAATTAAATTGTTATTACTCGCTAACGCGCGCGCAAACGTCTCCGTCGCATATACATGGACTGCCGTGGGTGTAGTACACGCTTGAATTAACTTTCGGCTGCTCTCAAAGTCGGGGATTGAGTTTGTTGGGGCGATGTCTGATGTGGAATTTAATTTCGCCCCGGTGTAGACGGCTAATGCTCGTTTTCGCGCGTCGTACTAATTTGGGAAAATTACGCCAAGAGATGTGTACTTTCTCGTACACGCATCGGTTTTTTGTTGGTGAAAAAATATACTTACGTTTCCAACCCAGTATACATTTTTTTTTTTTTTAACTTTACACGAGATTTGAGTACCTAATCTTATTTTCGAGTTGATGAAATATTTTCCCAGTGTCAAAAAAATGAAACATTTGAAGCACCCTATGTTTAATTAGAGCAGATGCAAGTGTTATATTCATGGTTTGGAATTATTTTAGGAATTCACTCGAACGAAGTTATGTCACTTGGAACTTGTAATTTTTATCTAAGTAATTTACACAGTGGTTTACAGGTCGGGACAAAAGTCAATGTCAACCAGTAATTTTCCAATTTACAATTATTATTTTTTTTTTTATAAGAACACTCGTAAGTATTTAAATGCAAAACTCACTGTACCGCGGAAACCTCATCAATCTTCCTAGTAGTCGTAAAAGCTGTTAATTATACGTAGTTGATGACAAAAGTATGGGAATAATACAGCAAAGGGCAATGAAATCGAGTTTAAACTACGTGGCTAATGAATAGTTATGAACATGTACAATCAGGATAATTACATTAGATTGCATTTATGCATATTGGTCGGATGGTGATTCGCTTACCACACGTAAAGGGTTCAATAACGACGTGAACAGTTGATTTTTCGCATCGAGAATATATAATGAAATTCCTCATTTTGGAGAGTGCAATGTGCCAAAGATAATAATATCCGATGTGAAACGCGATTTTCTTTGAATAATTCAGCAGTGAAAGCAAAAGGTGATTTAAAAATTACCGACAAGGTTTTATGGGTAGTATCAATAGCAGCGGGACGTATATGTACATTTTTCAGCTCATAGAATCGAACATGCCTATTAATTATTAGCATTGCTCAACGATAATGTAAATGAAGTTGCGTTTGATGTAGATAATACCGTCAAGCAACGCGATAATAATTTTTAAGTGCACGTCCTACGACATTTTCTACCAGGGCGTGTATATATTTAATACAAAAACAAAGGACCTGTACAGTAGAAGTCGATACGAGAGAGGAAGATCAAAGTGGCGATTTCGTATTGGGTGAGCGAAATATTTTTTAACGAGATTACAAGAATATCCGGTTACCGAAGCCGATCGCGAGGGACGGGGAGGGGAATATGGTAAAGGATTTTTTTTTTTGCTTTTTCATTCACGTGGGCGCACGAAACACGATACGAGACGAGAGCCGAAGAACACGGGAATCGCGAATGTATTGCAAATTTTTGGTACAAATTTTGTCACTCCACTGGAGTCCACTGAGACGGAAATGACCTTTCAACAAACAAAAAAGTAAAACGTGAATGTATTTTGCATGTGGGTGCGCGTATGCCTACATCAATAGAGGCGACCGAGGGTAACTTCAAATTGAAAAAAAAAAAAAAAGTGTGCACCCCAAGAAATAGCTTGCAAGCACATTAAAACTGTAGCAGCGGTACATATAGGGTCTTTCTAGCAATCGGACAAAGGTTTCTCTCGGTGTATATATTTCCATTCATGGCACGGCAACGCGATCGAGCTTTTTTTTGCCCCTTCGGATGACGCATTTTTTTACACCTACCAACCCTCTGTCGCTCGGAACTTGGTGTTTTTCACCTCATTACATGTGGGATATTCAAGCCCCATTTGTGCATACTGGATTTTTTCAATCAATTGTTTTTTATTTATTTTTTTTTTATTTTCAACCAAACACCTCGACAAACAGACGCGAGCTTTTGACCTCTCATATATATAATATTCTTGATACAGTTGTTACATGATATTTGACACGGTTAATCGTTCTATGATCAATGTGTGGACAATTACTTCCAACCACGCAGGCTCGACTGATTTTCCATTTTTTCCCAATCCGTCTTGATTTTCTCTCACGAATGTCAGCAAACATCTGCCCTCGACTTTACTTTTTTTGTCGCGCCAACTATTTCCTCCTTGCCTTTCTTTTTCTGTTTCACGCGTATCCACCAATACTGGTATTCGTGTTCATTAGAACTGAGAATTAGAAAATGCTATTCCAAACGGAAGGAAGAAATATTGTTTGCAAAAACTGTTGTTGCTCACAAGAGCCAGTGCGCAAGAAAAAAATAACATTATTCATCTCAAAAAGTTATACACGAAAAAAGTGAATTTCGCAGCTAAATTTACTAGTTCCACAGTCTATTCTTTGGTATGGTCAAACATCAACAAATCAACAATGGCTTGTCATAAAATCGTACAAAACTGCACACAACAACCAAATCTCGCCCAAACACACTCTCGTTGCGTACACAAAAACTTATGCTGACCGATATATACTGCTATATTTATATTCTGCGTCACTCAGTTCTCATCCGCCGTGATGGATAACTGTCCAACTGAGGTCAGCAAAATTTTGCTTACCACGTACGAAATAAGCGAGGAGATGGGCTTTCCTATATCTTGTATCACGTACGTGATGCACAACACTGGGCTGAACTCAGCGATGGACCTGATGGAAATTTTGGATGATGCAGCACGATCGCGAGACCCTTTGGCCGTGCACATACAAATTGAGGGATGTACGCCAAGTTGCCAAGAAAGGAGCAACAAAGTCCAATGAAAGGGGACGAGGCGAATTTCCGAGGGAGAACTTGGGAAGGCTCAGGGTCGAGAGGGATCGTTGACCGGAAGTGATTTACATTCGCTGCACGAACAGCTCTTACCCGATGTCGATCGTGATTTGGAGTGCAAATTTTTCGCGCTACGTAGGGATCACAAGTTTTTCAATTATTTCCAGCATTTCTGCTGCTCGGGTTATCCTGTAATCGCCGGCTCGTTCAATTATACCAAAAATTCAACATTAACATCTAAACACTTTTTCTTTTTTTCCCACAAAAGCGTATCGTAACCTATGGGCTTTACAAATACAATACAATTCACATTTGAATGTTTAATATACATTTCAATGCATTGCCAATCCATTTTACTCTTTTGTGCATTATACGTAATACTTTATTCATAAGCCGCTGAAATATATACGAACGTCACTTTGCGTCGCGGAATAATAACCACACGATTTTCATTCAATTAACCAGATCTGTTTCCATTGATTTTATTAACAAAGGAAACGTATGTATGCTCCATTGGCATGTTACATGTATTCTCCTATTGTCGAAATAAACGACTCTGGATTTCATTTCGAATAAAAATGGTAATCGAGTAAATTTTCCTTCATCAGTGCCATTATATAAAATGGCACAAAAGTGACTTTACATTATACATTATTAC